AAAAAAATGTTCAAGGAATAAGATTAACATTAAAAAGTAAATAAATTTTTATCATTATTATTTAATTTCGAGAGAGGGATGGACAGACTTTTTTAATGGAAGAGAGGAAAATGCAACGTCACTATATATGTTTCGTTATTAGAATCTGGACAACTTTTCATTTCTCTTTCGCAAAATTTCGGATCTCTTCTAGCTCTTGGAATCAAAACCCTAATTCCCCCAATTTAACTTTTCTAACATCGAAAACCTATCTCTCTCTCTCTCTGTCTGAACTCTCTCTCTGTCCCTCTTTCTCTCCCTCTCTCGCTCGCCCTGAGTTCCCGAGGTTTTCCCGTTCTACAGCTCGATCCAGAGGTTCTTTCTTCTTCTCCTTTTTCTTCCTCTGTATCTCAATTCTGTCCTAAGTATAACCATAATTATAAAATTCTCCGAATTAAACTCTTTTATATGGTTTCAGTTGTTTAGGTTTTAAGTTTTGTTTTTCTTTTGTTTTCGCAATTGTGGAATTTCGCGATACGCGTTCCACATTCGGTGGTTATTCGGATTTTTGGAATCGGAATTGCAACGACGTGTTTGGATTTGGTTTGGGTTTGAGTTTGTCTGTTGATGGATCCTTGGTGGGGATTTACCGTGGATTTTGGCTTGTGTTGCTGACTTTGGTTATTGTTCAGTATTGGGCGCATGTTCGCTATCTGTTTTGAAGACTGAAGAATAATAATGGCTCTAGTGCACTGGATATACTGTAGTTGATAATATGATTTTATGTTTTGATATTTTTCCTGACTATATGGATGTGCTTGTTCTAGTATGAATATATTGGTGGTTGAGTTTCTATGCAGCTGATTGTATGTATTACCGTATCAGATGATGCTTTGTCGCGACGCATGTGACATTTTTAGGTCTCTCTTGACACTACTCTATTAATTAAATGCATATCATTGCTTAAGTTAACTGTAATGATTTTTGCTTAAGTTGGTATTTGATTTTGTTCGATGTTTACTTCTGGCTGTAGTTACATCAGTAGGAGTGTGTAATAAATTTTTTTGCACAGATTGTCTTTTTTTATCTTCCAAGTAAAGAGAAATGGGAGGTAACTAATAATAATTAAAAAAGTGGAAGGTAGTATACCATTTTTGTTTAGTCAATACAAATTCACATGGGGGTGTGCTAAAATAGAATATTAATCAAATAATTATAATTCTGAATTTCTATTAAGTTAGTGTTTCTTCAACTGATCATTATACTGTGGGATCACTAAAGACATGTAGTTCCACTTCAGACTGAAAAATATGATCAAGGAGCTTAACAAAGTAATTATCCCTTAGCTGATCCATTTATTTATAGGAGAAAAAAATAATGATTTAAAAGAGTGTAGATATTAAAGGCTCACTTAGGTGCCAATAGCTAATAAGGAAAAACAGTTTTTAGTAAAGATAGGTTAACCTATTCTAACACTCCCCCTCAAGATGGAGCATACAAATTGTATGTATATAGCATATTAATTGAATTCGAGGTCTTCTCAAAGATCTAGTTCAGATATCTACAAGCTAAACATTGGAGCTGCCAAATGTTGTGCAGATTTCCTTGTTCAGTAACTTCTTGTGAACAAAGAGTCAATCTTATATGTTTAGTTCTCTCCTAAAATACAATATTAGAAGTATTGTATTTGTTGAGTTTCACAAAACTTCAACTCTTGGAGTAATTGTTTAATCCATATAAGTTCACAAGTGAGAGATGCCATTGCCCATATTGGGTTTTAGCATGAGATTGAGAAACCACATTCTATTTCTTGCTTTTCCAAGAAATAATATTGCTGCTAATGAAAACATAATACCCAACAGTGTGCCTATCTATAGGAAATAGTGTCCAATGAACATCACAATATCCAATCATAGGAGTGTGTCCCTATCTTCATATAACAACAATCCTTGTTTTAGAGCCTTTTTGAGGTATTTAATAATGTGAATAACAACATTCCAATGATCAATATGAGGAGCGTACATAAATTGACAAACCTCTCCAATAGCAATAAAACAAGTTAGGTTTAGTAATAGTGAGATAGATAAGATTCTCAACAAGTCCTTTTGTATCTTTCTGGGTTTGAGATTCATTCTATTCTGCCATCAATTTCTGCTTAGGATCCTTAGAACTATCCACTAGTCTACAATTAATCATGTCTGATTATTCCAAAACATCTAAAGCATATTTTCTTGAGAGATGATAATACCTTCCTTTGATTGAGCCATTTCAACACCTAGAAAGCATTTGAGGCATCTAAGATCTTTGGTTTGAAAGAGACTATATAAGTGCTTCTCTAGCAGTAGTTTTTTATCATCATTCCCTATAATGACTATATCATCCACGTACAAGATTAAATAAGCACATTTTTTAGGAAAGGTATGACAAAATGGTCTAATTCACTCTGTGTTAGTCCAAAGATTTGAACAATATAACTAAATTTTTCAAAACTATGCACATAGAGATTATCTAAGGCTATAGAAAGAACATGTAATTTACAAACCAAATCAAACTCTCCCTGAGCAATAAATCTAGGATGTTTATGTAAATTTCTTCCTCTAGATCACCATGAAGGAAAACATTCTTTATATCCAATTGATGTAGAGGACAATGACGAATGATTGTCATGGCAAAGAAGAGGCGAACAATAGTCATCTTGGCAACAAGAAAAAATGTATCACTATAATCAAGACCATATATCTAAGTAAAACCAACAACCAACATCAACCTTCTTTCTAGTCACTATAGACGATGATCAAGTGCCTCTTTCACAATTTTAGGAATGGTAAGAAGACACAAAGAGATAAAAACAAAATAGGAAGGACACAATTGATGGTAGCTTAAAATATTAAAATACAGTGAGGATTATGAGTAGAGCAAGTACATTTTCAAATAGTAATGGGCCAACTAGAATCTTCATTATTAAGAGTCGTAGTATGGAGTGGTGTTGGTAGGTGATAAGAGGTGGTATGGAATGATGATGGTAGGTGATAAGGACTTGATGAAGAGGACTAACCTATGTTACATTGGACTATTCATTTGGGTCTGTCATTGGTAGGTGATAAGAGGGGGTGATGATGGTCTAGGTGGATTTGGATGATGAGAGGAATTGGGATCATTGGGAGAATTTTGAATAGTGTTAGGAATAGGAGACAGAGGGATCAATTAAGGGTGTAGGGAAGATTTGTTGGGTAGTGTTGACATCCTATGTAGAAGAGGGGAAGAAAGGAGTTTCTTAAAAAGAAGTGACACTTGCAAACATGTGATTCATAATGTCAAGAGAATAACATCAATACATTTTTTTATGACTAGAAGGTCCTAGGAAAACGCATTTGATAGATCGTCTAAGAGTTGTCCAAACCTAGAGACACATCATGTACAAAACACACAACAACTAAAAACAAGAGGAGAAATGTGAAGAAGAGGTTCATCAGGAACCATCCTTTTTAGTTTGAATGGGTGTGGATGATCGAAGCTATCATGAAACAATTTTGAAGAAGGGGATGCAAAACAAGACATAGAAGGTCTAGGCCCAAAGTAATATAATCCTTTAAATTCATTCCTTTGCCAATCATCATTCAACTTATGCCATGCTCCGATGCAACAAAAGAATTAGCATCAAAGGTTTTAGACAATTTAAAGATTTAGTTAATTGACTTAGAGAGAAAATGTTAAACGGGCATGTAAGGATCAAGAGAACAAATTTCAAGTTTAAAGAGTAAGAAAGGGAGATTTGATAAACTCCTTGTGGAGCAACTTTGGATCCAATAGCTAAGGTAATAAAATGAGGAATTTTAGGTGATCTAAGTCACTTGAATAGATTTATCCATGGATTTGACTCCCCATGGTTTGAGAAAGCAAGTTGTTAATAAACTAGCTTAGGTGAAAGATTGTGCTTGAGTGCTTGATTTTAACTTGAGATATTCTTCATCTGAGAACTTTGGTTTAACTCTATTAGATGTTGAGATGTTTGTTGTTTTGTTATGGAGTCCATGTAAAAAGAGGCAATATTCTTGAGTGTGCCTCATTTTCTGACAATAGGAGAATTGAGGGTGTTTGTGTTCACAGTGTCCTCCTCTATTGCCACAACCTCGTCTTCCCCAAATAGATATCATAGTGGATGGGTCAGTAGAATCATGAAGAATGTTGCCTTTAATAGTGGGAGCACAAAGCAACAATTTTGTTAAGCTCTCCATTGTTGAAATTTCTTGACTAGTTAAAATTTGATCCCAAGCATGATCCAAATGGAGGCCCATGGCATGAAAAATCATACATATAGAATTTATCCAACTTTTTCTTATTCTCTTCAAATGAGTCAACTTAGGACATTTGTAATTCTCCAGGAATAGGTTGGACTTCAACAATGAAGAAGATCATGTCATGATTAGTATGTTCAAGAGAGGCCAATTTATGGGTAGAACCATAAAGGTATTGAATATCATTTGTAAAGATATTATAAGCCCTTGTCTATAAAGAGTGGTAGGTCTTGAATGTCTTGATAGTACCCAATATGTTAAGTTCCACATATTGCCATAACAAAGCACTTGAAAATCAAGTTTCTTTCACTGTTCAACTTTGTCTGATGATACTTTACACCTATTCTCTTCCAAATGATCATGGAAGCCTTTGCCAAGGAATCATAGTTCAACCAAGGCAAACCAAGAGAGGTAATTTTTTTTCCATTAAGTTTGTCAGAAGAGATGGTAGGAGTTCCAGAAAGTAGGTGGCAGGTTCAGAAGACATATTAAAAGAGGAAATCACTAGAACCAGGCAAAAACAGCAACCTGCAGTGATCTTGACCTCTCTCTAAACACAACATAATAAATACCAATAGGTCAGAAACAGCAACACTCACAGCACCCCAAACCTCACAGCCAGTTCCAACAGTAAAAAAACAGATAGCAGTAGGGAGATAGAATTTGAGAAATAGAGAAGATACAACCCCAGAGAGGGAGATATATGCCCTTTAACCAAAGCTGGAAATGGAGAACCAAAGGCCACAATCAGGTGGGTTGGATGTCACATGGCTAGACACCAGATCTGGTGGTTGGCAACAGTGGAGGGGGCAGATGGTGGCAGACGGCAGCAAACAGTTGCAAACGCAGTACCAGATATTTGTCTGTAAAGATTCTTTTATAAGGCTTGGCTGCAATAAATGTCATTATATATTGAACAAGAAAAGTATGCTATATTTGTAATTTTGTTTGGAGGTCAGTATTGCATGTCTTTTATGGTGGTGGAAAGTCCCCTGATATGGGAATGATAACCTGTTGGAAACTTGATTCATTGCATTTAGGTTTCACAATAAGGAGTGAAATGCTTCCTTGGATCTTTGTTATTGGTTCTTTATGTTCTGTTTAAAATATCAACATAATTGTACCTGCACCTAATTGAAGTGTTGTAACTGTATCTGTGCGAGAAGTTATATTGCTGCTTTTAGGAAACCACCTATTGTTAGGGTGTGTGCAAGGATATGTAGGGTATCGTGGTCTTAAAGTGAATTGGCATGATGGGGGAAATTGACTGACGGTTTGGCCTTGGGGGAAATTTGGAGGGAAGTTCTGTTGTAAGATATGAAGAAATCCTATATGTTACTGTATATTTTCAGTTCAGTTAACTCTCAATTATCCATTGTAAATTCATTTGGGATATCATCGTATGTTTTCCCTGTAAGAACTGATCCAGTAAGGTTGTCAGATTATGTTGATTCCTAAACTCTATCAGTTTCCATCCTTTCTCTATACTGGATTAAACAAATTAGAGTAAATTACATTAGTACTCCCTAAGATTTTCATGAATTACATTTACACCCCTGCTTTTCTTACCCTTACAATGGTCTTCCCTTGTAGGGGGTGCGAGTGTAATGTTTTTTTTTTTTTTTTTTTTTTAAAAAAAAAAACTTAAGGGGTGTATTTGTAATGTTAAAAGGGGTGTTAGTGTAATGTTTTAAAGGAGAGGTTTGTGTAGGATTTTATAAAGTTGGGGTGTAAGTGTAATTCGGAAACTTCAGTTGGTGCCAGTGTAATTTGCTCAACATATTATCTACTTTGTTTAGTGTAAGGGGTACAAAGTTTGGGGAGATCCTTTTATTGGTTCTTTAGTTTTATAATTTTAATGTAGTTATAGTTGTTTTTAATTAGAGCACTGTGGTTGCATATGTATTAAAACCTATACGGGACTATGCGATTTGAGCACTAATCACTATTAGATTACATTCTTTCAGTACTTGGATTAAGATGATCTACTTTTACTTTGTATCCATGTTTTTTAAGTAGCAGCAATTCAATTTTCAAGGTCTGAACTGTGCTTCTGAAGAGACCATTATTTTTCTTGTCAAATAGATTATGTATTGCATGAATCCTTTAATTCTTATTAAAATTTCCAGAGATCACCGTGGACACAAATGAAGTTATTCCAGAGAAGGAAACCGCTGAGCAATGCATCAAGAACAAATGAGAACCAATGTCTGAACTCAATCTGCATGCAACAGAATTGAATATTCAGGGAACAAAAAGCAGTTTCTTCTGAAGAGAACTTCTTTTAAGGAAAAATATAATCCGTTTGGTCATGTTTGAATTATACTTTTTTATTGGTTGGCCCCGCACCCTCTTTTTCTTTCCCTCTGTAGTTTGTTATAAACTGCTGTAGTTTGTTATAAACTGGGGCCTGTTGTCCCCCAGTAATCCTTAAGCACTTGATGTTGGCAAACAGATCCATGCCCCTGATGGTATTTATGTTAACAGAATGTTATCTAGGAGATGTCGCTTGTGTTCTTTATTCTGTTGATACCTATATTGTGCTCTAGTAATTTGTTTGTTCACTTAAAACGCTATAATCTGATTATTTTTATTTTATGTTGCAGGGACATATTTGCGACTAAGAGATGTCCCCTTCCAAATCTAAGTCTAAAGACAAAAAGGCTGGCAGGGAATCTCAGAAGTCTGTTGCCAAGTCTTCAGGTTCTGGTAATGCAGTAGCTGGTGTACCAGCTAGTGCATACAACCCTTTATTAGGAACATTCCATACTTTGGAGATGCAACCAGCATCTACTTCCCAAGTACAAACGAATGGCCGTTATCCGAATATAGACGAGACAGATGAACATCCTGCGGGCTCAGTGGTGGCTGGTGTGGAGTATGATTCTGTTTCTAACAATGGTAGTTGGTCTGGTGAGTCCGAGGACCACAAAGAGAAATCTTCTAATCCTCCTGCTCGACTGGAGGCAGTACCAGGAGCAGATAACGACAAACGAGAGAAAATCCGCCAGAAGAATGAAAGGAAACATCAGCGACAAAAGGAAAGACGGGCACAAGAGTTGCATGATCGTTGCAGTGGATATATTATGTCTAGGAAACTTGAGGCACTTGCACAACAGCTTGTGGCAATGGGATTTTCTCACGAGCGTGCAACAGTAGCATTGATACTGAATGAAGGAAGGGTTGAGGAATCAGTAGCATGGCTGTTTGAGGGTGGTGAAGAAGCAGATAATCATAAAGATAGAAATATAGGTGGGAGTAATTTGAAAATTGATATATCAGAAGAACTTGCACGGATTGCAGACCTAGAAATCAAGTACAGTTGCTCAAAACAGGAGGTTGAAAGAGCAGTTGTTGCTTGTGAGGGTGATCTTGACAAGGCTGCAGAGTCTTTGAAAGAACTGAAGCTGGATCGACCGACTGGCCTACCAAAGCCAGAGGAAATTGGTGATCCTCCTTCCTTTGACAGTAAGGAGTCAGGAGATGTGAGTCAGAATGCTAGGTCCCAGACTAAACGCATTCTTTCTCCAAATCAACTCAAAAAAGATGAAAAGGATTTTAACTATACCAAGCAACCAGTTATGGTAAGAGGATCTGTGGAATCCAGCAACAGACTTGTGCAGCCTCTTAAGAGAATCCAACCCAAGTCTGATTGGGCAAAGCCTCAGCAAGCTTCTATACCTGCTGACAAGAGGTGGTCAAGTGCAGGATCTAATCCTTTGGTTTCTTACTCATTGGCATCACCATTGCAAGTGTCATCGACACCTGCTAAGACAGAAGCTTCTTATATGGCTGTTGGAGGTGATTTTAAGAACCTTCAATCTGGTCCAGCTAGGGAGCCAGTGACTGTGATGCAGCGGCCTCAAACTGTAAATGCAAAGCAGATTCCAGCTGCCAGCATGAGTTCTTCTCCTCCTGGAATAGCTGCCAGTTGGTATCCGACAAACAGTGTAAAAGTCATGAGGTCCAATGGCTTGATGTCTCACCCTCCTACCTCTAGAAGCCTCACTTCAAACTATTTCAGTTCAAATCCAATGTACCACCAAGTTCAGTGTCAGCCTCCTCAACAGTTTGTGGCTGGCAACAGCAGTTCAGTAGATCTACAAGCAACCAACCGAGGGAATAGTCTATGGAATAGAACAACAGCTGCGTCTCCAACACTTGCTGCTGCTGCTTCTCTTGGACTCTTTTCTGGGCTAGGATCTGCAGCAACATCAGGGTCAACTTCTCCAGTAGACTGGAGCACTGGTGGGTCAATGCAATTTGATTATACCAACATAGACTGGTCCTTGGATAGAGGCTTATCTCCACCAAGGTCTAATGCATTACTGCTAGGGCTTTCTCCTTTTACAAAGAGTAGTACTCTATATGGCTCAAATGCTTCTAGTGTGGTTGCTCAGCCAGCAATTAAATCATTACCCTCTAATGGTAGTATAGTTCCCTTGCCTGGATTGCAAGATGGTGGAGTATCTTCTGCTGAAACATCAGGTTCTCGGGAATGGAGTTCTCCATTTGAAGGGAAAGACCTTTTCAGTTTACCGAGACAGTTTGTTTCTTCTCCCTCTCTGTAGAGTTGTGAGGAGAAATCAAATGAATAAAAAAAAGGACCAAAAAATGTGTGGATTTGATGTTTGTTCCTATGATGCTATAGTTGATATGTTGTTGGTGGTAAGCTTTCTGTGGAAAACAGCCGTCGTATTTCACATGCATACTACACTTCCCCATCACATGCACAATTCACTTCCATACCTAAAACTTATCACCGTCCAAACACATTTGAAAAAAAAAAAATATTGGATTAAAATTTAGTGGAAGTCCATTCAGGGTTGATATTTGTATAATTTGGTGTTTTTTAATAAGTTTTAATCAATAATAATATGTTTAAAAGAGGATTATAGAGAATGTATTGGTAGAGTATTTTTTTCTAATGGGGAATAACTGCGTACACCTTGCCACTAGTTATATATTTTTAGGCAGTTAGGGTGGTTAATAGTTATTGGTTATTATTAATTCAAAAGTTAAAATGGACATCCTTTTTCAAAAGTTGTTTTAAACAAGAATGGATTAAAATCTTTTCTTATTACCTCAACTTTAAAATTATTTTTTACAAATTAAAATTAATTTATATACAACTTAAAAATAGGAATTAAGATTAATTACAGATACAAAATTTATAAAATAATCTGTATATAAACCAAATTTAACTAGTAGAGAAACTTATTTTTCCCATGTTTTTCTATCTAAAAGTGTTTAGTCAATTAATGAAGTTTCGGAAGAACTTATTAATCATTCTTAACTTAATAGTTATTTCAACAAAACACGTTTAATTATGGATACCATTTACGTATTAAACTAGAGGTAGATATTGATATAGTTTTCATTATGAATTTAATTTGTTGATAGTTGATGCAAATTTTCCTCCTTCCTTTTAAATAAGGATTTGTTTTACATTGAAGTATCCAGAATGATCCACTCTTCGAATAACCAATATTATAGAACAGATGACGGATCTTGACCAGTTGATCTTGGGAGACAAATAATATATTATTAATAAATAATAAATAAATATAAAAAGAAGAAAGAATATGAAAGGGTGAAAAGATAAAATTATAGATATATACTTAATTATATTAAATGATCATTAAGTTTGAGAGAAACAAAATCATAAATTATATGAGAGTTATAAAACTGAGGAGGGACTAAGAGGATAAAATTGTAAATATACAAGTAAATGTATTAAATGTTCATTATGTGGGGGAGGTCAAAATCATAAATTATATGGGAGTTATAAAATTCTAAGAAGATCCGCCAATGATATAGAGGATAAATATTGAATATATCTCACTTGAATATTGTTTTGGGGTTTGCACCTAATAATCTGAAAGTTAGTACTGGATAATAACTGACCCAAGAGGGTCAACCCGAGAGGCCCATAGGGGTTGGATAAAAACAAGTATAGGATAGGAAAAACATGTAGAAAAAAAGAGGGAGAGACTTCATTCAGTGCAACCCTATTTTTGACAACAACATTTTGACATCGTCTGTGGGGAATCGAAAAAAAAATTTCCTTTTCCCACTTCCCAACAATGGTCACGCGCAAGAGAAACGATACTTTGACAACTGAAAACAAACAACCGTTAGACAACCGGGGCTAATAAGAAATTAATTAAAAATAAGGGTTTGATTAGTAAAATTGTAGAGGGGTAGAGATGTAATATTGTAAAAATGGGGGATGTTATGGTAAAAAGTGAAATATATATTTTGAAG